GAAATCCTAGAGAACCTGGGGAATTTCAAAAACTTCTCCATAAAAGATGGGCTGATAACCCGACTTGGAGAAGGAGGGACGACCCAAATAGTAGTCCTGAAAGGGAACTACAAAAGGAAGTCCATTCGAGGAATAATCCTCGAAAACATCCACGAAACACTTGGACACTTAAGATCCAAGAAAACAGTGGAAACCCTCCATCGATACTTCTGGTGGAAGTCGATGAGGAAGGACACCCACAAGTTCTGCAGGTCTTGTGGAACTTTTCAAACAACAAAGAAAAGCACCTGGAGAAATCCTGGACTGCTTCACCCACTCCCGACCCCGGAGACACCATGGTCGTCAATAGCCATGGACTTCACAGGTCCATTCCCAACAAGCTTGGGATATGATTACCTCTGGGTAATCATTTGTAGGTTGACGTCCAATGTCCACCTAATTCCAATAAAAACAACAACGAACACACTAGAACTAGCATTCGTATTTCTTCGTGAAGTTGTAAGACTCCATGGTTTACCACACTTGATCATATCAGATTGAGACTCGAAATTCACGTCAAAATTTTGGTGCAAACTACACCAAATACTCGGTGTGCAGTTGAAATTCACAACTGCATTCCACCTGCAAGGTGACGGCCAAGCAGAAAGAATGATACAAAAAGTAGTACAAATACTACACGTGATGGTTAGACCAGATCAACGCAACTGGGCAGCGAAACTGTCGATGGCGGAATTCACAATCAATGTGAGCTCGAACACATTGACAGGATTTGCCCCATTCGAAGTAATCTACGGCCATATGCCAAAGATGTGCCTAACAGCACCACTCTCGGACTACCCAGGAGTAAATGACTTCGCCCAAAAAGCGAAGGAAAACCTCATGGCAGCACACAACGTGATAATACACAATCACACTGCCCAAACAATCCAGGCGAATAAGAAAAGATGCCCAGACCCACCTTTGAGAAAAGGCAAGCTTGCATACTTATCCACGGATAAGCTGAACCTACCCAAAGGAAGGGCAGGAAAACTAAAGCCCTTATACATAGGGCCTTACGAAATTCTGGAAACATTTCCAGAGACGTCAAACTATGTCCTCAAGTTGCCACCACAACTTGAACAATGCGGAATCCACCCAAGATTCCACGTATCCTGGCTCGTACCTCACGAGCCGAATGACCAAAAAATCTTCCCAAACAGGGAAGTAAACATATTCTACGATTTTGGGGAAGACCCTGATCGCGAAGCAGTAGTTCGCAAAATCTTAAACCATGCATGGGTTCACAACGAACTCTGGTTTAAGGTCAAATGGGAACCAGGGGACACCACATGGGAACCCCTAGGAAATTGCAATGACCTCATCCACCTGGATGAGTACCTCACATTACAAAATGTAAGGGAACCAGAAAAACTCCCTATCAAAGAAGACAGGGAACTCTCGGCATCACTACGCCCCCAAAAACAGAGGTGGAGGAAGTAAAGCCGAGGGATGATGGCCCACAGCCAAGAGCATGGGAAAGTTCTGGGCGAGTAACTCGCCCGGACAGCCACACCATGTACTAGAGATCACATGGGCCAGGCGAGTAACTTGCCTAGACCACGTGAACCACAGGCTCACATGTAAAAGCACACACAACTGCGGCAAATCCCATGCATGCAAGAACGAAAACCCCTCCCACCACCACAAGTAACATAACGACGAAATGTTGTTCTCTGGGGAGGCAACCCTCAGTTCGATCCAAACAAGCCACCGGACATCGAAATACAACAACCCGGGGAGCAAGGCTCTCCGGAACAACAACAACACCAGGTGCAGATAAGTCCCACAGACTACACAATGCATGCAGCACAAATGAGTGCTGCGAACCAACAACCATCCACATTGTTAACAGGCACTGCATACCCCCAGCCTCCTCAGAGGGGCTTCCAACCATATGCAGTGCAAACTGCACCGATGGCGCAACAAGCGCCATTCCAGGGGCAGCATTTGCTGCTGCAGCCTCAGGCATACTCCCCAGGGAACTTCCCTGGCCAAATCAACCCCTGGATCGGCCAATTCGGCCCAGGTCCAACAACACCCCAGCCAAATGCAGGCTGGGAATCAGCCATCGCATCAGCGGTAGCTGCTCAGACAGGACAGCTCCACGAGGAGCTGAAAGAGATGAAGTCCCTTGTAGGAGGGAGACGAGGGAGCGACAGCGGCTCCTCATCCAGACCGTCCAAACAGGCATGGTCTGATAACTTGAGGGCGTCAGAAGATGCCTGCGACCATTGTGCCCACTGGAGGTGCGAATACAACAGAGCATGAAGAGATGCCAAGGGCATCTTCGACTCTCTGAAAGATACAGAGAGAGAGGTCGACCTCCAAAAGAGGGAGATCAAATTACTAAAACGCGAGCTCAGAGAGGCACACGCACTGGCAGACCTCGCTGCCAAACCCATTATGACAGGGGCCTCCCAGGTCAGGGGGAGGGGATACAGTTCCGGGCCTCATGAGGTGTGACCCCACATGGGGACTAGTGCACCAAGGGGTGGGGCACTCACTATCCTGCCACCCCATGGGCAGGCGACCCTGTCTGGGTTGCATAAGGGCCCACCCTCAGAAGGGCAAACCCATGTTGAGGGGAAGAGAGAGAGTGGTAGGCAACCGACAGCAGACCCTAAAACGGGGACCACTGCCAGAGGTGGCGGGCCGCTGAGTACCTCAGCACCCTATGGGCAAGCTGCCCTGCAGGGAAGTGTCCACATGCTATATGAGACCACTGAACTCAACGAGTTCAGTAAAGTTGAAGCTCCAGTTGATGTAACAATCGACCCCAACTTCCCCATGAGGAGAATCGTGGGGTCAGAAGTGGCACACGACACCGCATATGCTTGGTGGACAAGTGTGAGTGGGAAAGAATACATACATTGGTACGAACAAGCTGAAGCTGCCTTTAAAAGCGGCAAGGTACATAGAGTCCTTTGCAAAAAAGCGAAGGAAACTGAGAAATATTTCTTGGGACTCCCGAGTATTGCAAAACTCACAGAGGAGTACAATTCCTTGGAGAACAAGGGAAAAATCTCCCAGGAAAGTCTAGGCAAAGCTGCCTATATAAAGTCCCAGTTCAAACCACTCAGGACTCCTGAGGAATGCGCTGCAAGAACTGTGGAGCAGGAAGCAAAAGCTTCCAAATACCAGGAAAGAGATGCAAGTCTCCACACTGGACAAATGGGCCAGCAACCACCCTTCCCCATGGGAAGAATGGTAAACTTACTGTACTCTACACCTTGTCAGGGCACACACCCTGACTAGCCCGGACCCGGACCCACATCCGGACCTGCATCCACCTGCTGCGCTTCCCACATGTGTGCACACTCTGCATGCCGCATGCTCCGGGCCCAGTTCCTATCCCTTCATGTGACTTCTGGGTATCCCCGGAAGTTTGCCTGATATTGTGGCCACTGTGGGAAGATGAGAAGTTGGCTTCCTTCTCATCTCCTTACCCACAGTAGGTTGTGCCCTGGATAGGGCTGGTTACACCAGTAGGCTGTGGACCATAGGGGGGGAGGGTCATGGGGACCCGGGAGTCGTCCCCTGACACACCTGAGCCAAGTAGCTCAGGAACACAACAACCTGCTCCCACCCAGGAAGCACCCACTTCGTTGAGCCCACAGCTTGACAATGTAGCTCAGGCTACATCATCGCATCCGATGCAGCAATCGGATGTCCAGATGAACGACCTGGAGGAAAACCCTCTTCCAGGGCAATAACTCTACCCTTGAGGAAAGGGAAAGTGACATGGTAATATGCCATTGAGACACCCGTGAAAACACCTTCCCCCAACTCGAGGCCCTGCACACAATATTGTATGCAAGGAACCACAAGTAACAATTGCAGAAACTTCTACTCCATCTAACCCACATCCACCACCACTCATGTGTAAACACCATTTACACATGAATCCTCATGTAACAAGTGAGGAGGAATACCAAAGACATATAATCTTTGGGTCAAAATTTATTTTCAAAAAACTCCTTCTCTTCATCATTTTTCCCTTTGCGATACCCATGTATCGCCGTTCACTTCAAAGTGATGGCCCCACACCCATTTATTCCCTCAATTTCTCTCGCTGACATGTACAAATTGCCCACTTTCAAGTGGCAATAATAAAACACTCATTGATATTTTCAAACTCAATGTAACTTCCTTTTTTTAAATTTTATTCTCTTCATCATTAACCATGTATGCGTCGCAAATGCAATGCAAGGGGGGAGAATGTCAGGGAAATGGCCCTGAACCCTGAGCCATATGTAATTACAAGGTACATATAGTCACATGGGTAAGCAGTAACTTCTGTTAACTGCTTACACACACCGTAAAATACACACATTCGTATCACTTATGGCTCTGTGTGCTGAGCTACCCCACTGAGACCTCACACTGTTCCAGATCCCAATTGGGGACTGATGTTCAAAGGTGCTTGGGGCAAGTGAATCCAACACCATGAGGTTTCATCCCAAATGGTGGAGATGTGAGCTGGATCCACAGGAAAGGATGCTCATCTCAACACATTAACGAAAAAATCAGCAGACATCATTGCTTGGTGTACCGTCAGCAAAATGATGTAAGTCACGATATCTCCTATGTTTTACATAACAATTGAATGGTAGAATTGACTTATGTAACCAGTCATTCTCACATCGCAATCTGACTAGAGACCTTTAACCCATGGGGTGCTTGTTCCTCGCACACCCATGCATTTAGCAGTCTCTAGCTCCTGTGGAGGGCATCAGGGCTGTGCCCCAAACCCCCCTGGGGCATTGCCTGTAAGGGAGATAGGCCACATACTCGTGACCTACCCTATTCATTCTTTATTTATCATGTCAGGTTTATACCTGACATGACACTTCTATTCCTGAACCCTTCATTTTACCATGCGGTCCCAAGCCACAATAATCACATGTACATACAATGATGTATTTAACCTGCATGTGAGGGGGTAAAGGCTTCCCCAGCCTTTACTCCCCCATTGATAATATAGTGTATATCTGACAGACTGGGAGTGTGAGGCAACACTTGACTATCGTGAGATCACTTGCGAACTCCACCTTAACAACCTTACATTGCCCCAGACCCCATTGGGGCTCCGCCCCATGCAATGTCATCCTTGTTATTATTGTTCCCCATGTGCTAAAGAAATAATTATTTATGCACCAAGGGGCCAGCCAGCCCTTGAACCCCTGCTCCTGCGGAGAGCCATTGGGGCATTGCCCCAAGCCCCACTCCTGTGGAGAGCCTGGGGCTGTGCCCCAAACCCCCCCCCCTGGACATATTTGATTATTAATTATTACACCAAGGGGCCAGCCCCTTGAACCAGGGTTGGGCTGACCAGCATCAGACCACCTGGTCACATGGTCAAATGTCAGACACCCGGTCTGATCACGGTCTCTGGTCTCAGGGACTAATGTATTGGTCACAAAATGGCACATGGACATGTGATCCCACGGTGTTAGCCAAATGTATTCATTATATCTATAGCGATGCTGACCATCCCACAACCTGACCCAAACTTGAGTCCACATCTAGATTCATATCTCTGGCAACAAAATCTTGCATCTCCAGCTCCAATGCAAAGTTTTGTGTACCCTGGAACCAATAATGATTCCATGGCCCATCCAAGGTCATATTAAAAATGTCATGTATTGCTTTGCCTTGTAGACTAGCACACTAATTAGAAGTGGTTTAAATATTAATGACAGAGTCCGGAAACTAGGAAGCACTTACTGTCAGGGCACGCTGCCGCCGCCGCCGCCGCCACCTCCTTTTCCTTTTTGTCTCATCTTCTCATTCTCTTTCTTTCCTTCTTCTCTTTTTCTATCTTTATACGGATGACCTCTCTCTTCCTTTCCTATATTTGTAGCACGGACGCGCCCGACACTGAGCACCCCGTAGGGGCATCGCCACACCGGATGCGCCGCGCACTCCTACTTGTACTTCCCCTCCAACACTTGGGATCGACCGCGGAGCCACCCGCGTTAACCCAGCTTTGTCCGAAGGTGATGTGGCACTCCCACGTGACCCTTCACACATGTATATAAACTAAGCTGAAGCAGGACCGAAGAAGTAACCTTCTTCTCATTTCCCACTTCAGGCAAGTACCTTAGTTTAGTCTAGCTTCCCACCCTAATAATAATACATTTCCCGCTTCAGCCTAAGAAGCTGCACAGGGACGTAAGCCCGAGTAAGGGCTGCCCACCATACGGTCTCGCCATCCCGCCACCGCCCAGGCCGCTAGCGCCGAGGGTTCCGTCGCTACCTCTGCCTTCCTTGAACCGTCCCTGACACTTACACACTGAGAGTCGTGAGGGGAGTCATGGTAGACAGGGACATTCCGGCATAAATGAGGAATGTCCAAATCCTCGTTGAGATCATCAAGGAGATTGGTGTGGAATGAAAAGTATGAGTGGTTAATGTCATCAGGAATTGAAGATGGGTGTCCATGTTCTGGCTCTAGGCAACTTCCTGTTGGATCACAGTCATTTGCTGATGAAGCATAGCCAAATGTCAGGGGACGCACGTGCTCGCGCAAGATGCTCTGATAACCTAGTTGTGATTAAAGCCGGGGGAAAGGGATGTCCCCATCTTAGGGTCAGCTATATACATGTAGAGTCCGGCAATAAGGAAACCAAACGGATTGCCGATAGAATCACGTGATCATAGAATGTTCCAGAACAATGCCGGAGATGATCCAGGTCACCGGGGCTTAGGTAAGCGGAGTAGACGGGAATTACTGGCATACTTCCCATGCGCATACACACAGCCTGTTACAAAAATGGGGCCGGAAGCGCCCATTTTCGTCCATTCTGGCGCAGGAATAGGGAAGGGGGTTGGACATAGGGGTTTACAGGTGGTTTCACAGATGGTTTAACATGTTGTTGAACAGGTAGTGTGGCAGCGGGTTTTTATTGATTAATGATTGGATAAACTCAATTACTATACAAATCATGTGATACAGAACCCATAAGAGTCTAAAATGGGAAATTCCCATTTCCATAACACAGCCGGCATAGGGTCCAGGGTCATTGCTGATCCCTGACACCAAATGATTGTCGGATGTGCTTCCGGTGTGTTCCTTCAACTGCATGCATGCAATTGAGGTTTAACTTGGTGGCAGAAATTTTGACCATTTTCTCGACAGCTAACCGATTTCGCAAAGGGTCTTTAGTGTCACCAGTAATAGAGAAGAAGCATTCAGAACTCGCGGAATTACAAACAAAAGAGAAAACAAGGATTGAAAGTTTTGCAAGAGGGTCGGTGGTGTGTGCACATTGCCATGCCTTGAAGGGATTGAAGTCCAAGAAGGAAAGCATCTGAGAAATTGCATTTGTGAGGTTGCACAGGCCCTTACTGGAATCCACTTGCAGAGGTTATTCCAATTCCAGTCCCCATCAGCATAACCAAAAGCATCATGTGGATCTGTCAGATATGCAATGCTGCACGGACCCAATTCCTCAGGTGGTGTGTCAGTTCCAAACACACAACAATACACCCATTCTATCATAGTGACTAGGAGTGCAGTAGAGACCATCGGTGTTAGAACTGGGTGAGTGCAGACAATTCCAGAGGGGAACCGGAGACTTAGCAAGGAGGGACCTTGGCCTCAGCAACTCAAGCAGAGCGCTGTGCCATTGCTGTTTGTCCATTTGGTCCTTAATTTCATAGGCGGTGAGCAGGAAGTCTCTAGGGGGCATTTCAGGTTGATTTTAGACTAAGGGCCTAAAACAAGAATGTACAAGCACCGGTATATAATGGAGAGGGCGAAAGCACAAGGGAAACAAAGGGGGTCCGAATCGGAACGAAGGTGTCCAAATGGGAACAAAGGGATGACAGAAGCGGAGCGGTACCGAAGGTCATAAGTCAGAACCTGTGATACATCCAAAAGGAGATTGGGAGGGCGAAGCCCAGAGGGGCAGGAGGATGAGGTGAAGTGGGGATGATGACTAACTGGCTAGAATGGGAAGAAGCAGCAGTCCAAATAAGGATGAGGGGAAAACGCGAAAGATACATTACAAGTGGCAAAAGTGCCGAAATGATCTGTGGAGCTCAGGGGTTACAGAGCTTGCGGAGGTTACAAAGGTGGGGTTGGAAGTCCAAGGAATATTGGCAATGGTGTTTATGTAGTATGAGGTCACCAATGCAATGGACTTAAGCCGAGGTGGAGTCAAAGTCCGAGGTCGGAACTATGACAGGATCTCGGAGAGAAGGTACAAGTGGTGTCCAAGTACAGGGTACAGGACAGCGGCGTGGCAGGAGAGGGTCAGAGGAAGGAGAGAGGAGAGAGAGGAACAGGGAGAGGAGTGGTGTTTGGTCCAAGGTAAGTATCGGAGCGGACAAGGGTAAGGTAGGAGAAGGATGGAAGGGTGGAGGTGGCATGAGGGGTGAGGGGTGGTGTGGTGTCAGGACCGAAGGTGAATATCAGAACAGACGGCGGTAGGGTAGGACTCCGGAGGTGGTGAAGATGGGGGTCCGGGAGTCGGTTCAGGATCGAGTATGTACGAATATGACAGAGTTGTATGCCCTGTGGGGCATAGAGAATGTCATCCTATGGACGTCGTCTGGATCCATGCATATTTGTTCATACGTGTCTGACATATCAATCTTGGATTGGTATGTTGCTCTGGCAACTGATTCTTGGATCAGTCACATGTCTGGCATTGGTGTGATGTCGAGAATCGTGTTTGAATTATGATTCCTCACATCGATTACCATGCGCAAAGATCCATCTGCTTTGCAGATGCATAGTAGCAGGCTTGCTTGCTTGCTGCTTGCAGGATACCACCATCCTGCTTTCACATAGCAATCTATTTTGGTCACTAGTGCTTCCTGCAGTGCTGCAGGATATCTCAGGGTGTTTTCCCGAAATTTCTTTTTTGGATCCTTTGATGGTTCACCTCCCTCAAGGGAGGCATTTCTAATGGTGCTGGCACCATTACAGTTTCGAATTTCTCTCTCCACCACTCCCTGAGTATTTCGAACTCAGGGCTGTTCATGGAGAGACCTTCCAGATGTGGTACGTCTGGAAGTTCTAGTCCTTCTGGACTAGGATTGGGCCAACCTTCAGGGTACTTTCTTTCGATTACCCTGAGGTGTGTTTTTGTCTCACCTCCTTGTCAGGGGGCTTCTTTTTTGGCTGTTCTTGAGCCCTTGCTCGAGTTTTTCACCCATGTGATCTCATTGCATGGTCTTCACTGACTTCAAGGGTGTCTATGTTACCCTTGTTCACCATTCTCACTTTGTGGGACTGGAAGTCTAAACTTACCTGTTTGTTTAACCAGGGGGTGCCGAATATGGCATCGTATCTATCGATGTTGATTACATTGAAGTAGCGTTTTGCTACATGGCTGTTGATCTCAACGTCCACATTTGTTCTGAACAGGATCTGTGATCTTGTTCCTTTCGTCCCCATTTGGAGGACGACTGGGTTCTCCAATTGGAGAATTGGGATATGGACCACATGTGTCATATCCATCCATGGCCACCAACTTCCACTGCTTCCGATCCCTCCGGACTACCTCTGCTCCTTCTCCACTAACCTCGGAGCCCCCATATTCCGCAATCACCTCCACATCCCTTGATGGTCACCACCCCCTCTTTTCAATATATTACCTATGCCTCCCTAAGTACGGAGCCCCAAAGGTTTCCAGACAGCTCCGATGTCCGCTAGTGCACTCCCGCCTCCGCTGGGCAATACACTCGCTTGCCCTGCAAGCCCACCTTCGGGCCTATCCCTCCTTTCCATTTCTGGGTTATCACCTACCATTCCGCTAACCCCATAACCCAACTTGTCAGTAATATTCAATCAGCTAATGTTTAACTCCATTAGCTCCGCTCCGCTCGGCCCTCGTTGTAACTATATATACTCAACTTGTACATAGGTTACACCTCAGTAATAAAATCGACTAGAGTTTACCCCCTTTAGTTCTGGTTGCCAGTTAGTAAGTTAGGGCATGGACATGTTACTTGGCACAGCGCTCCTGGCATAAGTTGCTGAGGCTGAAGCCCTCCACCACAGAGACATTCCTTCATCTCGATCTGGTCTCTGACAGCATGGATGAAGTCCAGCGATATTGCGTCCATTTCGGCTCCACTGTCAAATAACACATAGGCTTTCATGCCTGCTATTTTTATGTGAGCCATCAGCATTCTCTTTGTTGAGAGCAGTCTGTTTGTGGGGTATTTTCCTGCATCTTTTGAGATGCAAAATATCGCATCAAACAAGGGGGTCTGGCTTTCAATGGACTTTTGGTCCTTCTTCCCTTTCTCCTTGTTTTCCTTGGGTACTTTGGTGTATTTCCCCAAGGCATCTTTTCTTGGTGCTTCCACCAAGGCTTCAGCGACTTTCTTGTCTGCCGTGTTTTCTAACTGGTGCGCTATGGCTAGTTTGATTTTATAATTTATGTTGTTGTGGTCAACAACTGACATTGGGCCCATCCTTATGGTCCTGACGTTAACTTCCTCACCCTCTGAATCGGGTGAGTATTGAGGTCCCTCGTATGGGTCCTCTACTTCGAAGCTTGATGCTCTGGAGTCACCAGAGTTGTTCTCTGGGTTTTTGTCAGGGACAGCTCCAAAAGCGGCAAGGTGTCATATCCGTGCATACCCGACCCCGACCCGACTTCCGGACC